TAATAATAGTTGGGGATAGTTTATTTAGTAATAGTTGGGGGTAGTTTGCTATTATAATAGTTGGGGATAGTTTAGTAATAATAGTTGGGGATAGTTTATTTAGTAATAGTTGGGGATAGTTTATTTAGTAATAGGTGAGGGTAGTTTACTATTATAATAGTTGGGGATAGTTTAGTAATAATAGTTGGGGATAGTTTATTTAGTAATAGTTGGGGATAGTTTATTATTGTGGATCCAATATCATTCAATTTGGGCAATCAAACACTTGACAATCTTGCCACTGCCAGAGGACCGGTTTCAAGAAAGCCTGCAAAGTCTCAAACCCAAGTGATTGCTCCTTGGCTTGATGGCTGGCATGGGGACTCCAATCCAGAAAGAGGGGAGCAATCCACACATCACACAAATATATGCATGCATGCATTTTTATTCAAAAGCTGAGTGTCCACTTGGTAGGCAAAAAGTGGGTAGGTGGTGTCTTTGGATGACTTTCTCCGGTCCAATACTGCACCCATAGCCACCAGGACTATTTTGGCACCCTGCTCATTGTATCTAGTGTCATCTCCCCACAACCACATTGGCACACAACCACTTCCAGGTTTGTCAGCTGTGTGGGGTAACCCTTTTGAAGCAAGATGGGTCCAGTATCGGTCAATCTCAACATCCATGCCTGGGCCACGTGGTAATAAGTCATTCTTCAAGAGCCATGGCAACAGCTGGTCAGGAGGAACAAATGGTAGTGTCCTGATAGGCCACCATGCTAGCCCCCAAAAATTAACATAAGTCTGCAAATGATAGTAGTTCCTTGTGATCTTTGTCTTCTTGAGCTTGTTGACTTTCATTGGGATGGACAGCATTCGAAGTGGAACCTCATGGTCATAAATCCACTCAAGGTGCCAAATTGTGTAATTGGGTATGCTAGCACAATCTCAACAACAAATCAGCCAAGACACCACATTCCCAACTTGCCGAACCATATCTCGTTTGATATTGGACTTGTGTTTCCCACCTGCTCCTGTCTCCTCTAGCCTTTTCGAAGGCCCTGCCATGGAAATGCCATGGAACTGAAGTTCCTGCCAAGTTTAGTTTATGCAATTGCAGGGTCCATTACTTGTACCAACAAGTGACTTCACGTGCATCTAATTTTCACTAGTCCTTCTTCACAACCTCACATGTGTCACGAGCTCTGCTGAATGATGTTTCCTGACTGGCCGCACGGATTTGAGGCTGCTGATTTTGATCTACAACCAGGACTATGTAGCCAAGGCTCACCACCACCAGCTGTTTCCATGACATAGTCAAACAGAGGTGAGCGGCTAGGTGCACCAACACCTGCGTGGGATCAGAAGTTTTACATCTTCTTTCAGGGGTATGTAGATCAACCCAGACTATGTTTTGAGACCTTTTCAAAATTCAAATGTATCAAACATGTGATGCCTTCCCAGTTGAGTATGTTGCAAGCAGCATCATTTTCGGTTTCCCAAGCTTCAAGATGTATTGACGGGTCCAACCATTGGAAGGTTTCAGAGTCACACCCCACTCAGAACAGTGAAACAGAAACAAACTTCAGCTAGCTATGTCTAGATTAAAGATATGGACAACAATTTTGTTTTTTTTATGAAAGCTGACTCTCCCTCCTGGTGGGTTCAGTTTTCATGATGGTTGCGATCCCATCTACACCCATTCCTAAATATTCGATGCTTATGTGTGTAAAAAAAATTGCAGGGTTTGAACTGATAGCCCCAGTGGATATTGACTTAGTCTTACATGTGGTGATCTAGGGACAGGATCATTCACCATTGCCCAAAATCAGGCTTGACTGTGCCAAACTTCGCATGAAGTATCTAAGGCTCACAAACCTGAACCCTACAGCGGGCCCTCATCAGCCCTCCGTACTGCGCTTGTTCTCAGGCTCTTTGGATAGATTTGGCAATGGAGCCGACTTGGCCTTTGCAGCCTTTGGAGGTGCCTCAGCATTCTACCAGTACCCACGTGGTGGAAACTTGGGGAAACATAAGGAATAAGAAAAGGATAGCTTTATTTCAAAAAGCAATGCAATCTTTGTTGCAAACTGGGCACAATGGCATTCTTCACCAACTTTGTAGAGCCGTTGATTTTTGTCATCATGCTGTCAAACTGTGCCACGAGAGTATCATACATGTTGAGTTGGTCACCCACCACCTGCTCATCCTCCAAGCGCAGAGCATACCAAGCCTCCATCTTACTCCTGGCCACATCGGTCTCCTGCAAGAGTCCCACAAGCTCTCCATCATATGCAGCCTTCATCGAAGCAGACCTGGGATCAACAAAGTGCAGTAGGTCATGTGAGACAATGTTAAGCCCAGTAACCCCATTACTTAAAGTATAACTCAAGTTAACTCATTTGAAGTACCAAAAAAGTAGTATCCATTGTCATGCAAGTTACAGTTTTCCCGAAGATTGAGCATTGGTCTGTAAACAACGGATCTCTGTGACTTTGGTGGAAAGCTGTGTGATCTTGGCCCCAATCTTTTTGTTGTAGTTGGGCTTGGCATTCCCAGCTGCGTCCTTGCTGGCTTTTCCCTTGTTGGACCTTTTCTTGGGCTCAGCCTTCGGTGCAGGTGGAGGCAGCTGCCCAGGTGGATGCCTGCTGACAGGGCCATCCAACAAGGAGCCAGCTCCGATGGGCTTGTGGGCCACCTGCCTCAGGTGTTAGAAGAGGGCACATAGAGTCGACATAGAGATTTTTAATTTCAGATTGTAAATTATTTTTATCAGTCCAAGTTAGTAGTGGGGACCATGGATCATATATCAAAAATAGTTCAACAAATGCACTCAATTATTTTGCAGGGCACAGCAAGGCTTTCGTGGATTCTTCAGGGATAGCAGCTTCATGTGACATTGTCCATTCCTGTGAGTTGCCCTGGGTTTCTTCCAGAACCAAGCTATCCCACATACGCAGCAAATCCCAGTCCTTGGGCAGCATGAATGTAGTTTCATGGGAACATTTTCATGATTCATGGGTCAAATCTTGTTGAAATAGATTGTCAGTCTCAAAGATCTTACATTGAAGAAGTGTGGAAAAATTACTGAAGGGAAACCAAAATTCTTCAGTATTCTTGATTTCTGGGTGTGGCAAATACCATGCCTCCTCATCTTCAGATCGGGCTGCCTCAAGGTCCTTCTTGTCCTTCTTGATTTGCTTCGCAATGGCAGACCCATATTTTTGTTCTACTTCACAGAACGGCTGGTAAACCCATTTGCCACGCTTCTTAAACGAATGGTGCTGCCTGCTGTTGAAAACAATGCTGGATTTACCCCAGTCACCATCAGCTTGCAGCCACTCTTCATAGAGAAACTGGTTGAGCTTTCGATCTTAGTAAGCTGGCATATGACTGAGTAAAAACGAAATAAAGAAGAACAGACCATATTATGTGATGGCATTTCCAGGAAAACTTCAAACTGAAGAAAACTTATCACAGCTAGCTGATCAAGTAACTGTGTTTTCGTCCAGCAGCTTTCTCAGCCACTTCTGGTGGAAGGTCTCCTAGGTAACCAGCAAATTGAAAATCATTAGCTTTCAAATTTTGAAAACCTTAATCTAACTCAATTTTTGTGGGACACATTTGTTTCAAACCCACCCCAACACCCAAATCCCAGCACTGTCCTGCTGTCAGCGATCGACTGTATCGCATGTAGGAGTTGTGGGCCAAGCGGGCTTCACGTTGTGGTACAGTCTCAAGTTCACCTGTTTTTGGTCTCTTGTAGTAGGTGATTCCATCAATGATGACCGGGGTATCAGTGTCCACAGTGGTCAGGTCAGAGGTGTCCATTCTTTTGAACTCCTTCGCAAGTGTATCAGCCCTCTCAAGGGCTTTGCCCTGATCACCACCTGCAGGTGTAGGAACTTCAGGTGTAGCTTCCGGCGATCTAGCTTCCCACTTGATCTTTTTGCAGATAGCAGGGTCAAAGATGTTGACCTTGTTGTGGGTGATCTTGGAATCTGCACCCTTGGGGACAATGACTCTCTTTTCCACTTTCTTCTCTGACAGGTGTTCCTGAGGTGCAGAGGTCGGTAGGGTCTCTCCTGGTTTCTCTCCTGGTTTCCCCTCAGGCTTTGAAGTAGGCATCTCTCCCTCCAGCTTCTCCCCAGGTTTCACACTCAGCTCCTCTCGCTCTGGTTTCTCTCCCACTTCATGGTTCGAACTAGGCTTCTCTCCCTCCAGTTTCTCTCCAGGTTTCGATGTAGACTTCTCAGCTGACAGAGCATCCGGTTGGACTTCAGGTTCTGGTTTCTGCAGGTTGGTAGGCAGTTGAGCTCCAGCTGCATTGGGCGTCTCAACATCCATAGGGACAGGGATCGAAGATTCTGTCACCCCCGGTTTTGACATTGGATCCTCTTGAAGTAGGAACTGAAGTCCAGCATCCAACTCTGCCATCAAGTCTTCATCACTTTGCAAGAATGCTGGAGGCGCAGGTGTTTCCTTCCACTCTTTGAAGGTCCACTTGATCACCTCCATGAGCTTGGTCTCAAAGACAGAGCGGACACAAGAATGGTGATATTCCAGGTCGTTCTCCTCCTCCTTGACTTTCTCTTCCTGTTTTTTCAACCATGTCGTAAGAAGCACTTTCCTCTTCTCCAAGACCTCATGCCCATCAGGCAGCCTTTCACACTGCAATGTGGCATCCTTGACACGCTGTTCCACATTTGCTCTAGCAGCAGCCATAACCCTCTTGCCACGTTCCCTGAGAGCATCAAGATCAGAGGTAACTTTGTTGAAGTTGCCAAAGTCAATCAGCAAGGATTGTAGGTCATCCGGGAAATCCTCACACTTCAAGGGCCCCTTGTTCACGGACTTCAGCCACACAATGGATTCTTCAAGAAGCTTGTGCATTCCACACAAGTGTGGGTCCCAACCCGATTGGAAGAGGTCCCTCAGGCAAACCTGCAAGGTAAGTGGCGGTTCACGCAAAGTGTGATCTTTTTGGAGAAGATCATCAATAGATGTTGTAGAAGAGCGACGAAACAAATCTTCTGGGCTTTGTGATCCTTAAACATTCAAAGGCGAAGTGTATAAATGCAAGTAACTTAGCTAGTTATATGCCCCAGGTAATGGGGAAAAAAGTTCCAAAGGCTAAGAGGAGAATCCAGTGAAGTGTTCCTCCAATCCAGGTGCTGGTGTAGACACATCTATCACCTTAGTTGCATAGATTGTCATATCATGATAGGTTTCCTCCATGGGTCAGTGCAAGACTCCCAAAAAATAGAAATACACTAATTTAGTTGAATGACACTAGCTGCCAGAGACCCATCACCCTTCGGAGTAGATTCCACAGCTACTGCACCCTCAAACGAACTTGCTAGATCCCTGGGGGTTGGCAATGAACTCTCAGCATCACTGCACTCCAGCTGTGTTTCCAAAGAGTCCATATGGCGTGGTTCACTGGGTTCTACTGGTTCCATTGTTCTGGTCTTCTTCTTCTCAGGGCTCTTGATCGGGGTTTGCACGGGTGTGAGCACATCTGCTGCAGGAGCCTGAGCTGGTGCCAACCCTGATGGTGCCGCAGGGGCAGGTCCATCAATTCCTGGGCAATGGGAGAGCAGTGGCAGTGGAACAATCATTAATTAGGTCTATACATAGACTTGCCTTAATATAGTATGGGGAAAAAATAAAATATAAACACAGCTGGATTTCCAGGTGTTCCCAATGGTCTGGCTTGAGTTCGCACTTGAGCCACCCGGGTTAAACATTGTTGGAGCTCTGCCTTCTCATCAAAACCATCCGTAGCCTCATGTGGTTTTTACATACAAAATCAAAAAATAGAGTGGGGGCCCAAAATTGTTAAAGAAATTTGTTTTGAGGGAACATGAAATAATGCCAAACACTAGCAAGAAACAGCCTTTCGAGGGCCCATCATCCAAAATCTATGGATGACACCCAACAAGTCTTTGAACCAAAAGCCTGAATGGCCATATGTACACAAGTGGCAGGACCCAGCCAAGAGTTCACACACCATGACTTTTTGTGATTTTGAGTACGGTCTACATATTTTTTCATAAAAATAATTTAACGGAATTTCACGCAATTTCACGCCGCGTTTGCCGTATTCAAAGTATTTAACGCAATTTCACGCGAATTTCACGCAGATCACTTTTGGGGGTTCATATCTTCCAAAGTTTTCCCTAAAATAAATTTCACGGAATTTCACGCAATTTCACGCCGCATTTGCCGTATTCACAGTATTTAACGCAATTTCACGCGAATTTCACGCAGACCATTTTTGGAATCCCCATCAGAAATTCAAGAACATACCTTGTTTGTTTGCTCATTCTACTTGAACCATCTTCAAGGAGAATGTACTTCAAGCACAACCAGCTGAGCCATTGAAAATACACCTATACCCTCTCATTATACTAGTACGTTGATATGTTTCCCTCATGGGTTTTCACAATCCCCAATAAATTAGGTAGTATATATTATTATATTAACCAATAAAGCAGGGTATTTTTAATGGCTCAGCTGGGACAAGTCAATGTGGCACTGAACCTACTGGTTCATCCCATCAATAGACCCCTTGTGGATGCAAAGATAGCTGCAGGCAACACCCCTGGCATGATACCAATTGCCAGTCAGCAGTCACAGGACCTTCAACCTACCATACTAATATTCCAATGTGGTACCTCATGTATGGAAATTGTTTCCAATTCATCGTGGAGAAATCTTGGTGGTATCAATTCGGAATAACAAATTTTCCCTTGAATGGGGGTTTCAATATCAATGGGGGTAACTAAACACAAACTTTTATGAATATAGTCTAGTGGTAATCAAATGGTAGTCAAAACCTCCATTCAAGGGAAAAAATATGAATGTAAGGAAACACAAAATCAGGTGGCCTCATTTATATATTTAAACCCAGTTTTTGATAGATCCAAAAAAATCCACCATGGCTTTGGGGGGCCAGATTGAAACCATTGTGCAGCTATGCTCTAGATACTGATGATGTTTTCCAAGCAGTTGGCACTGTGCTGCATCTAATTGGACACTGAATTGGTTGTAGTCCATTCCTAATTTGAAAGATCAACTGATCTTGGCTGCCATAAACATCCACAGCCCAGTTTCAGGTGTGGCCAAAATACGTGTCTACAAAATTACGGTATATCTTTTCATCAGGCTCCAATGCAAAGGGGATCATCGGATCTGGTTCATATACACCAGCTGCAGCTGCCCCAACCAACATCTCCTTGAGAGATGCTAAGTCAGCAAACTTCCATGCTTCGGCAGGTGGCTCCTGGTGATGCGATAAATCTTGAGGTGAGGGCACCCAAGCTGGAAGGGATATGTTGCATAATTACACCCCAAAGATGGTGATGTCTGAATTCAATCCATTTTGTAGAAACAAGTACAGTGTTCAGAAACCAAAAATGACAGTCCTGATAACCAGCTTTGAACAATGCATCCACATCACAGCTGGCAAAATCAGGCTTGGCATTCATGAACTCCATGTGTAGTCTAGCTATACGGTGGCCATATGGAAATGGGTATCGCCCACTGGAAGTCAAATCTTTTCCACCACTCCTGGTTCAAAAAAATGGATGCACAGTAGAAGCATCAATGAATTCATTTTCAAGCACCACAACAGCTTGTTGGTTCAAGTTTAGCTTAGTGTGTTACTTGACACTACCTTCCACTATCATTATACCCCAAATAGTATTCTTTGCAATGGCCTTCACCTACAGATTTTGATTTTGATATGTGATCATAGGTGGAACCAACTTGATAAATTCACATATAGCATCCACAACAATAAACAATCCCCAGTATAGTCATCTGTATCTCACCATATTAGGGATGATTAAAAACAACCCTCAAATAGGAATGGTTTATTCCCCACCTGCCAGGTAAGGGTTGTTAGATTTTATCAGAGTTGTTCTCCTCCTCCTCCTTGGCTAGCTGTCCTCCTCCTCCTCCTCTAGTTTCTCCTCGACCATGTCTGCATCAACTTCCACCTGCACTTCCACCTTGCCAACTCTTTGCCAAGCTCTTTGCCAACTCTCTTTGCCGACTCTCTGCGCCAAGCTCTTTGCCAACTTCCCAGCTCAGTGTGCACCGCTGGACCTCAACCTGGCATATCTTCTGGCATATGTTCTCGCATATCTTCTGGCAATCTATCTGGCATTCTATCTGGCATATCTTCTGGCATATTATCTGGCATTCTATCTGGCATACCTTCTGGCATTCTATCTGGCATACCTTCTGGCATTCTATCTGACATATCTTCTGGCATTCTATCTGACATATCTTTTGGCATTCTATCTGGCATAGCTTCTGGCATTCTACCTGGCATATCTTCTGGCATATGTTCTGGCATATCTTCTGGCATTCCATCTGGCATTCTATCTGGCATATCATCTGGCATTCTATCTGGCAAACATTCTGGCACTGTATCTGGCATATCTTCTGGCATTCTATCTGACATTTTATCTGGCATTCTATCTGGCATATCATCTGGCATTCTATCTGGCAAACATTCTGGCACTGTATCTGGCATATCTTCTGGCATTCTATTTGACATTCTATCTGGCATATCTTCTGGCATTCTATCTGGCCATTGAGGTCCAGTGGTGCACACTGAGCTGGGCAGGTCCCAGGTTGAGGTCCAGAGGTGCACACTGAGCTGGGCAGATCCCAGGTTGAGGTCCAGTGGCGCACACTGAGCTGGAATCCAGGTAGAATGCCAGAAGCTATGCCAGATAGAATGTCAGATAGAATGCCAGAAGATATGTCAGATAGAATGCCAGAAGATATGCCAGATAGAATGCCAGAAGATATACCAGATAGAATGCCAGAAGGTATGCCAGATAGAATGCCAGATAATATGGCAGAACATATGCCAGATAGAATACCAGATAGAATGCCAAAAGATATGCCAGAACATATGCCAGAAGATTTGCCAGATAATATGCCAGAAGATATGCCAGATAGAATGCCAGATAGATTGCCAGAACATATGCCAGAAGATATGCCAGATAGAATGCCAGAAGATATGCCAGATAGAATGCCAGATAGAATACCAGAATTTATGCCAGATAGAATGCCAGAAGATTTGCCAGTAACAAAATGTATAAATGTCATGGTGGGGATCACATGAAGTAAAGTAATTATGGTGGATGCCACAATATTCAAATATTCACCAAGTAACACTTGGGTTTTGCCAGTGGTTTTGTGGTGATGTACACGGACCATCTGTTTGCCAGAGGAATCTTTGCGCTGGTTCATGGCATCTCTCTTGGACTTTGATATGGGAATTGGCAAGTCTTCCATCCAAGGCCTGAGATGCCAAACCAAAATTGATCCACCTATATAAGATCAAACATGATTTTGTTGGCTATAACCCATAAAAGAACCCAAAGACCCCAATGAAAACTTACTTGGCAAAGGGCGCCACGACCCATTTCCCACTCCAAGCTGTGGCTTCATGCTCCATCCTCCCATGAGGCCCATGAACCTTGGTCAGCTGGCATTGCCAGAGGTTGTCGGGAACCCTGGGCAAATCATATAGTTCCCCTTAAGCAATTTACAAATAAATCTTGGTGGGCTACAGTAAAATATACCAATTTTAAAATATCTGAACTGGTGGCTTAGACTACCTCTGGGAAGATTTTCCTTGGCACACCCTGTTAACATAAATAATTACAGATTATGATTATGAGAACAGCCATATAATATAAATGGAACTGGTATTTCATTCTACCTCCAGCCCACCCGGGTCTGGCATGCCCTCCACATATTAGAACCTTGTTACTGTATAGAATCCCAACATATTAAAACCAATACCATGGTGTATAAAAATTTGTAAGACTTCATTTTTTCATCACACAGGGTTTGAAAACTGAGGCCCCCTCCATTTGACCATACGTGGCTTCAAACAACGGTGGAATAGTAGTTGCATCGGTGGCAAATGGATCAGGTATGAGCGATCAGGCTGCTCTGCCATCCACACACAGTTTCGAACTATTGCAAGGACTGCAAGTAAGACGAACCTTGTTGCCATAACATTCCCACGCCAAACAAAGGGATAAGGAGTATGGCCCCAAGGTTGACAGGCTGCACGTTGGTGTGTCCCTGAACTCATGAACCCATAGGACTCACATGGAACTCCTCCATAGAGCAATGCAAGTGGTACCAATCGAAGCACCAGTTCCACCCCCTTCATGAATCCCACATCGGACATCATGTCACAAAAGACACCATCAGCTTCAAGTTCAAAGGCTTGCCTTAGAAGCCGATATAATTTAGTGGATGGGGCACATGTGATCAAATGTTCAGGCTTGTTCTGGCTGTTTAGATTATAGTCACGACTATAGTTCACAGTTTCGGGATATCTATATACCCTTTCTCACTAACCAAAATTTGGTTTAAAAATAGTGGTACTTGAAGGGATAATTATAGTAACTAATTTTTGGTGATGTCCCTTAGGGGTACAACCCAAAAGATCAAGATGCGCCAAACCTCCACGACAGCGAAACCCATTCACCAGTGTAGATCGGCCAGCAAAGAACTCTACGCAGGATAGCTCCTGGAAGTCAAGCATCAGTTGGATGTTTGTTTATATAAGGTGAACCATGTTGACATATTTTCTGGTTTTTACCTTTTTTTTAATAGACATATGCTAGCATTTGCTGCTTAGGGTAGGTTTGGCAAATTGTCATTTAGAATCTTCAGGTTAGGTTCAACTACTCATGTGGATAGGCCAACCAAAATAGTTTTCTTGATCAAACTCATGTAATTTTCAACTGTCAGTTCATAGATGCTATATATTTCAAAATATTGCTGGCAAATTGCTGATACAGGAATGCAATTTTATGAAAAACAAAATTCATGACAGGTGCTTCAATGTCCCAGAACCACCACACAGCCACTGCCCCTGCAGAGGCTCAGTCCCGACTGTGTTGCGATGTCACTGCTGCAAAGTCAAACGCATGGATCCTTGGCTGGCCAGAACCGGTTTGGTTTTATATGTTCATGTGGGCGGAGATGAATATAAATATTCATGATGGTTTCAAATAATGTAGGACTACTGATGGGTAAATAAATCAATGAACATAGATCTTGATCCATATCTTGTTAAACCACCACCTTTCTGTTTTTTGATTGCATGCAAGAAACACTATCGGGGGAATGCCCAAGAGTAGGAGCAGGGCAACTTGCTTCCGAGTCAGTAGCAAGCTGACATTCCCACGTGCCATTGCACATGCACACAGCTAGTATGAGACCTTTGCAAGAGCCCAGGCTAACACACATACACATGGTCTTGACAAGCACCTTTTGGACCACCAGCCAATCAACAATCAATCAGTCAATTCCTTTTTTAAAAAGTTCCCCAGAACCCCCAGCAAGGTGCAGGGAGGGTCAGCAGTGGCACCTCGAATGTTTGCCGGAGCTGAAGTCTCATTGTGTCTGGCTCGCTCCACAGCACCTGACGCAGGGATCACCATATATAGCACCATGTACAGGCTGCAACCAATCCCACTGTATTGCCATTCGTCATTATCATATACCAGCTGATTGACAGCAATTAAATACTAGATCATAACAACCTATCTTCAAAAGTGACAGGTTCAAACTGACTAGTGCGACACTTTTGTGCAATGGGATATCATCACAGCTAGCAGCCAGCAAATGATTTTCCAGCAAATGCATCGACAGGATTGGCCTTTAATGTCAGTAGGCTACCAAATGGCCATGCGACACAGCATGGCAGAACCAAACAACCTTTTCAGGTTGTTGCACCCCAACTCGAAATATGGCATATGCCAAAATCAAAAAAGGGACGTCTCCCCATTGGCACTCACTCGAACACATAGCTTTCAACCTGGTCTGGAGGAATCCAACCAGCAACAATCATCGCAATTCCCCACCTCAGAAGTGCACATGCAGAGATAAATATCACAGGGGGTCTAGCATCACATGAAGGCATGTTGTGAAGAGTGTGTAGTTGAACAAAGATACAAGCTGAGGTACGCCTGCATGACATTTTTGAAGCGGGACCATCCCAAGCTGCAACCATCACTTCCATCATAGGTCACATCTGCATTGACCCCCTTCTTCAAAACTTCCAACAACTCATCAGAGATCTTAGCATGTCGTACATAGAACGCAGGACGGTAGAACAAGACCCCAATGCCATTTTTGGACTTTCCCTGCTCATATGGGTAAGCTGTGAAGCTTTTGGCACCAGGCTTGTCGGCATCCAACTTCGGGATGTAAGCAACATATTTGGCAAAGTCAGGTTGGGACAAAAGTAGCTGGTAGTTTTCCAAAACCTTGACATGCAAAGCTGCCTGTTTTGCAGCCTTTGCATCCTGCCCATCCCCACCCTGGCCCTGACCAGCATCACCCACAGCACTGGCACCCGGCTCTGACTGTGCATCAGCAGCCCTCAACCTTCTCTTTTTGACAAAGTTCTTCTGTCGTGGGGTGGCCGAAATCAAAGCACCAGGGCGTTTTGGTGTGCCAGGCATGGTCTGGTTCGGGGAGGGTGGGCTCTGGTCAGCAGAAGCAGCATCTTTGTTCTCTGCAAGCACTTTTGCCTCTTTCTTCTCTTTAGCCAGTTTGGTCTTCTCATCTTTTTTCTGTTTCTTTTCCAATTGTTCTTGCTTCTTCTCTTCTCGCTTTCGTTTTTTCTCTTCCTTTTCCTTCAACTGTTGCTCCTTTGCATCCTTCCTTTCCTGCAGCCTTTGTTTCTTGTCTGCTTCAGCTTGTGCCATCTCCTGCAACACATTGCCACTAATTACTCCAAAGAGCAATACTGCTTTGTGCAAACTGCAAGAAACAAAAGAACATGCACATAATCTAAAACAACCTAACTGTGTCATCCTCCTTCTTACTTTTCTTCTGCTTCCGCTGGGCATCAGGAAGGTTGCTGTAGTCAGTGGCTTTGACAGGTTCAGCTTGTGGAAGATGTGCTGGGGCAGGAACAAGTGCTCCACGTCGGTCCTACCATGACCAATACTGTTTTTGGACACTGTTGTAGGTGTGAATTCTAAGTCAATGTACCTTTTGCAATAATATTGGTTGTATGACTTCATATAGACAGGTTGTTGTATGGCCACTGCTCTTGGTACTGTATGGCCTAGGACAGCATGCTTTTAAATGATAGGCCCCCCAGCCAAGTATGTCCTGATAGCCAGGTTTGGGAGCAGGAGCTTTTTCCAGCTTGTTCAAGAACACTTTCGCAAGAGTAGCATCATGCTCCATAGTCACCTACACACCATTGACATATCTTTCAATTGTAATTAATGGACATGCAGTTCAGTCAGGTTCTATGTTAAGTCTGAAGATCATGCAGAACAATTCTAGCCTTTGTCCGGTTGGCCAAGTAGTAACCCTGAAAGTTCATAAACAGCTGCACCGGGTCTTGAAGGATGACCCCATCAAGCTTCTCCAGGGGGCAGCCACAGTGTTCCTGACACCACTTCCGAAGTAGCACAATGAACTCATCCTTGACCAGCATCAACTCACTGGTCAGACAAACCTGCAAGCTAGGGCAGTACTGTAGCCTAGGGCGGGACTGTAGCATAGGGTATGAAAGCCTAATGATGGATTTGGACACCCCAACCCAGACCAATCTACAATTGAGTACATGCATACATATGATCACATATTCACACAGGTAAAGCAACCACACCTTGTCAGTATCTTCCACTACAATATCCTTCGACTTCTGAGGGTTGCCGCTGGGCTCCACATGTTCAACCTGCAAGACCGCACTATAGGAAAAACTAGAGCTGGGACATTGGGCACACCTGCATTGAAAGAAACACTACAATCACTGTGCCTCCATATCAGACTCCGATGGGTCAAATGGAGTGACTTCGGGATTCTTGGAAGGGGTCGACTCCAAAGGGTCCTACAAGGGACAGCAGTGAGCTAGTTAGTGCACCATGGGTACACAAGTGAGACATTACATATCAATGAGTTGGAAAACAAATTAAGACCCAATCGGTATCCTTATTGGCAACTTCCTGGAGTGCCATGGATTCTGAGGACTCTGAATGCTTCAAAGCACCAGCCACAGCCCCATGATCAGCCGCAGCCCCAGCATCAGTAGGATCAACCAATCCACGGTGGGCAGCAATGATTTGCTTGAGAACCCGAATCTTGGGATGCCTGATCATGATTCGTAAGCAGAGATGTTTGGGCCAAAAAAGAAATAAACCATCGGGAAAATTAACATAAACCCTGAAAATGATGGATTTGAAGAGTACTTTACTATTAGCCATTGACATTTTCAGGGTCTATGTTAGTTTTCCAGAGGGACACCCATGGGCCATGAGACAAAGGTTTATCAACATAGCAGGCCTTGCTTTCACTGTGCGGTATGTGAGGTTGATCATGTGTTGGGCCAAAGTCTTCAATTTTCCTCCCTCAAGATTTGCCCAATCCTGCATCACCATTAGTCATATGATAGTCATATGTACCATCTAACCCAATGCCAGCATGAACAACTCGTTTGTAGATGTGTGTGAACATTTCCAACAAATGTCTGGGGATTGTCCTTGACCTGCCCCTTTCCACCACGCTTTTGGTATAAAGCATCGCCAAAGAGGTTCAGTGTCACAGCCAAATAGGCCATAGCTGCCTCCAAAGACACATTGTCACATATATGTCAATATTAGTTTCTGATATTGATCAATCAAACAATACCAAAAACCAAAGCAAACCAGCCTGGTGGTCTTCACAAGATGGCAACTTGTCAGCTGCAAATTCAGTCAAATAGATCTTCAAAATATCGTAGTGGGCCACTACATCATCTTCATGCACCTCACCATACTGACCAAATATAGGCAGGTTGGCTAGGCAGATCTAGTATTAAAGAGCTGTCCCAACACTTTGCAGGCAAGTAGCCACCACCTGGCCATCTTTCGGAGTCCAGTTGAGGAGCTTCTTGTCCTTGGCTGTGGGTTTGGGCAAGCATTGTTTCTTGGACGATACCTTCACAATCCAATCATGTGATAATCATGTGTTTGGCAAATCCCCGGGTATTCAATTTCAGTGCAGAGATTGTTCCTAAAAGACATCTTAGTCCCTCACAATCCAATCATGTGATATTCACAGGGAATCATATGGTATTTAATTTTAGTGTAGATTGTTCCTAAAGAGACATGTTGGTGTTTCTAGATTTAGTTAAGGGTCTCTGTCAGACATGATCTCTGTGACCTTTGGTGTGCAGACCGTTGTCAGCACTTCATGAATTTTCTGGGCCAGCTCCTGCAAGAACAGGTTTCTTGAAATTGCTTCAACTGGATACAATCAAACCCAATCAATTGGAAAACCATCTAGCTACTAGATAAGAAAATGTGTGATCCAAAGCACCCCTATCCCAGACAGGGTCCGATAGATGTATGACCATCGGGGTGAAGACATGCTTGACCGGAATCTCAGCAGCCATTGCCAAGGTTAGCTGAGAGCTTGAGCAGCGAACAGCTTTTGGAACGGGCAGCTGTGAAAAAGCAACAGTCAGCAGTAGATCTTTCGTGTGGCACCCCAAATTCTTTGGAACCACAAGACAAATTGGGCAACCAGTTAGCCCCCAAACCACAGCAAGGGCAGGTGGCACCTTCCAAAAGTGATCTAAAGGCCGGCATTGGCTATCTTTGAGCAGTTGAGGTGTCTCATGTTGCATATTGACATTGATTCTTGGGCCACATGTTAGTCATATGTTGTTGATGTCATGGACCCTTGAACCAGTAGCAGTGGCATTGTCTATCTTCAAGGAGTTGAAACATCTCAGATCATGGTTGCATACTGACACTGATTGTTGGGCCATATGATCCTCGAGCCAGTAGTGGTGCCAAGGCCCCTGAATGTTGGCAACATGAGGGAATGATGCCCTATTTACATGCTTTGGGGATCTTTGGAGGCAAGTATGTGAATAGGCAAACATCTCCCAAAGTATGTGAATACCAGATGATTCGCCAAACACGTGAATATCACATGATTGGATTGTTTGGGTTTTAAAAAGTGCTTCAAAATCGTCTTTTTTCTGCTTTGGCGTCGAGATCCGGTTTTGGAGCTGCAATTTCCGACACCATTGCGCATAGTTCTATTGTGTTTTGCAACTCAGTCTCTGCAGATCGCATTGGAATGGCTGCGTCAAGGTTGCTTGGTGCCGCGGCTGCATGCGTAATACTACTGTCTTTTGCAGCTGAAGATCGTAAATCGTATTGGAATGGCTGCATCAAGGCTGCGACAATGATTTGTCAGCAGATTTTCGCAATTTTGGCGCTAGTAATTTTCCTTTTAAAATTCCTTTTAAAAAGTGCTTCAAAATCGTCTTTTTGTCGCTTTGGCGTCGAGATCCGGTTTTGGAGCTGCAATTTCCGACGCCGTTGCGCATAGTTCTATTGTGTTTTGCAACTCAGTCTTTGCAGATCGCATTGTAGTGGCTGCGTCAAGGTTGCTTGGTGCAGCGGCTGCATGCGTAATACTATTGTCTTTTGCAGCTGAAGATCGTAAATCGTATTGGAGTGGGTGCATCAAGGCTGCGACAGTGATTAGTAGTAGTACTGGGAAGTGATTCATGAAAGCTTAGATGACATATGAGAAGAGATGAGATGAGAAGAGATGAGCTGGGATAAGGTGAGAAGGGCTCAGATGAGATGAAGTGTGGAGTGTGAAGCGTGCAGTGTGAAGTGTGGGGCGTGAAGAGTGCAGTGTGAAGTGTGAAGTGTGAAGTTTGGAGTGTGAAGAAAGCAGTGAGAAGTGAGAAGTGTGAAGTGTGGACTGTGAAGTGTGAAGTGTGGACTGTGAAGTGTGAAGTTTGGAGTGCGAAGAGTGCAGTGTGACGTGTGAAGTGTGACGTGTGAAGTGTGGAGTGTGAAGTGTGGAGTGTGAAGTGTGAAGTGTGGAGTCTTAAGAGTGCAGTGTGAAGTGTGGAGTGTGAAGTGTGTAGTGTGAAGACTGCAGTGAGAAGTGCGAAGTGCGAAGTGGAGCTTCAAATGTGACATGTGAAACAAGACACCAGTTTCGCAGAGTGCACGCACGCACGGGCTTGGCTGGCGCACGGCGCAGGCAAGTTCTATAGATGAGAAAGGTCTTATGTATATCTTTAAGGCAACTTCCGCCCCGCCTCGTGCGGGTACTACTGGTATATTGTATTATATTATATAATATTATATTATACTATACTATATCATATTTTTAACATTATATTCTATTATAAAGTATTATATTACATTAAATTACATCTTATATTATATTAAATATATACAACATCAAAAAACAAAACATATATATATGTATATATATATATGGGTGTGGCGGTTGTTCCACATTCTTCTATCTGCAAACGGCCATTCTTAGCCAATAAAAAAAGCTTTCGCGAGCCCCACGTTTATCCTTCGCGGTGTTGCAGCTATCCACTTTTGTGCTGTTGAGACGCACCAAACAGCATGCAAACGGTAGCTGTGTGAGGGATCCGGGAGACGCCCACGGGTAGGGAAAATTCCACCAGGAAATAGCAGAGGTTCATTGTTTACAACGTTCCCTTGACTTGCCGCTGCGAAGGTGCTGTGTGGGCTACTGGCTTCCATGGACACCTTCTCTTTCGCCGCTTTCGCGGAAGTTTCGCGAGACTTTCGCAAAAAATCCTTTGCAAATCACAATCGGAAAATCCAGGCCCCGAATCGTGGTTGGGGGTTCAGCTCCACTTGATTACAATATAGTGCTTGGGTCTATTCTTTGCTGCATGCCTGCCAATAACAATTCAGAAGGTTCTCACTTCATCTAGGAGAAAGAATATTAAGGCGCTTAAGCCATCTCATCATGAAAATAAACTTTCGCCATTTCTTTCGCCAAATAAAAAAATACTTTCGCAAACTCAGAAAAAAATCGCGGGGTCTCATGTTGGAACCCTGGCGGCCTTGGCAAAAAACCCTTATGTACATGGACCTTCAGAATATTATCGATAATTCAATATTCTATATATATATATATAGCTGCCATTATTCACCGGAAAATCGTTCCAAGCTCCTGAACTGTGAAGATATCAAGGTAACCCAGAACCAACCATCAGTTGCTAATAATATCCCATATGTTTGATGATTAACATTTCATGAAACAGTTTGGTTAGTTCACCATCAAATCACCAATCAACAATCATTGATATTAATTTATCAACTACGTTCCCATATTCGTTTCATGGTTAGATCGCAAAAAAAGGATCCCATTAAGGTAGTCCCTTTCCCATAATATCAAACACCCCGGAAACAATGACTTAATGATAGGGGATTGATCTACTTATGGCTGGGACCTTTCCCAATCATGGGGCTGTGGATGCGAGGAAAATGCACCAGGGTTTACCATCGCAGAACCACGACGCACAGCTACCCTTCACCCCTTGAAACTTCCACCTTCTCATTGGACATCTGCTCTGCCACCTCTCTTGCCCGCTGCCGGATCTCTTCAGAAGAGATGCCTCGGGCTGGGTGAAGCTGGGTGAACAATGGAAGTTAACTTTTTTTTGCATCTTAAGCCACCAAAACTCCACTAACATCCGGTTTTTAACCATGAACACTGGGATGCCAAAAAAATATATACACGGTTTTGCCCCCACCACTATAGTCTAGCCTGGCTACGGAACGATTCAAGCATTCGAATGGATATTCGCAATGTCCAATAGAAGTCTCATCAGAACGGCGCCATCATAAACCGCTTGCCCAAGCAACATTAGGATTTGACCAAGAAAAAAAAGGCATCGTAAGATCGATGTCGTAAACTGAAAAAATGAATGACACCAAACCTTAGCGGTCACCCTTTGCAATACCCATCTACCTTTCTCATCTTTCCCTGGAAAATCTGGTGGCTTTCCCGACCATGTCGCATTTGGTGATGGCATCTGCCAGCTCCTCCGGCTTCAGAATTTTCATGGCTTTCAAGCCCACACCAAAGCCCTTGACCTGGATCACCCCTGGGTTCGCCCCTGGCTGGGGTGAACCCCAAGCCATTGCTCAATGGCATAGATATATCTATCCTTAGATCATGGGGATATGGGGTCTGTCGCAACTGTCAAGCCCTGTGAAGTGGAGGTGAGATACAGACTGCCAGCGAACTGCTTTCAGCCCAAGTGCGTTGACCAAGTCGGAGTGGTAAAATTGGTCCAAGAAGATTGGAACAATCACCTGCTTGGGCCCCACAAGTACAGCTGGGTAAACTATGGCACTAGTGTCAGCTCCTGGGTCACAATGGGGTACCAACTTCGACCTACAATACCTTGGGGGTTAACCAATAATATCCAATAATTACATACGGGTGTGTAGTGGGTATATTGAACAATAAAATGATATGGATGTGACTGAAACATGAGTTATATATGCTCAACCGTAGAGTCATTTGGTTGTGGAAAATAATGATCCACCAGTGTATGTAAGTAAGTATGTATGTATGTATGTATGAATGTATGTATGTATGTGTGTGTATGTCTGTATGTATGTATGTCTGTATGTATGTATGTATGTACATGTATGTATGTATGTCTGTGTGTATGTATGTACATGTATGTATGTATGTCTGTATGCATGTATGTATGCATGCATGTATGTATGCATGCATGCATGTATGTATGTATTTATGTATGCATGCATGCATGCATGCTTGCATGCATGCATGCATTTATGCATGTACATATATATATGTATATATGTACATGCATATATATATATATATGTGTGTGTGTTTGTGTAATGTAGACATTGTCTAGTGTTGATTCAGCATATTACTATAGCAAATCTTCGTTCTTACGGCTACATAATCTATAAATGGACCATGTTTCATAGCCACCTTAAATTACCAAAGGGCATATCGCCGCATTATATAATCCCAGTTATATATATATATATCCCATGACATGGATGATTATATCCCCAAAACAATATCTCTATGATGGTATATCGCTAGTCACTAACACTAAGTACCAGAGTATATAGATATTCATATACCTGGGAGCCACTCAGTATATTACAGATAGCGGTTATCCTTCCAAATTGTGAACATATAATAATCAGTTACCATGCTAACGATCCGTTTCGTTTTCGTAATCCCATCCCCCGTTCATATCCAACACCCCCAAACCAAACCATGGTTTAATACGGGATGAATCCACATATGACTGGGACCATAGAACAAGGTGTTTAACAGTAGCACCGGGTTGCTGTGGGAGTTCCACTCATTGCCGATGCGTTCAGTGTGCCCGCGCCACCTCATAGCACATCACGAGACTAAAAGGGTCCGAGGAGTCCTGGGAAAAAAAAACATCTATAGTGCAACCAAACCAACTAAATCCGTACGCATATACATACATAAGACATACTATCATATATATATATGTGTGCATGCATGTATGTAATTATGTATATGTATATCTCGTTATATATTAATGTTTGTACCATCCAGCAAACCCGAGTAAAATGAATTGGATTTTAGATACTCTACGATTCAATGGTCGTATGCGGTGCAGAAACCTTGTTTCCCTGTGTCATGTCGGAGGTGACTGGAGTAGTGAAACCTGAAATCAGCCGCAAATCTGGCCCATGTTCAAGCCCCCAAAAGTAAGATTTAGGTGTCTCACATCTTTAATTGTATGTATTCCCTTACCAAGAGGGAACAAAAAACATCAAAAAGAACCTACACACACACAGATTTTCCCAAACATGAACCCAAACATGTGGTAGTTCTGACCAGAAAATGAGGAACTCTAAATGCGGAATTTGTTTCTGGAATCCGGCGTTTCATACTAGCGATGTTGCTTGGAGCTGAATGTGGCATCAGTTTCGCGTTGTTGTGCTTCGCTATCTCCAGCCCTGATCATTGGATGCAAACGGCGCACCAGTTGTCTTTGTTTTCTGGAAAGTCCCCAAACCACAAAAAGAAGCTGGATTAGGACATAGTTGGTCCTGCCATGTCCTGCCAACCACTGGGAACGCTGTTATTGTTTCGTATAGTCACATAGTCTCTCCCCACCATGTTTTATTGGATTGCAACAATTTGTATGGGTTGAATTTCGTGTCGGCTCCCACCAATCTGCTGGATGCTTTCAACCCACTGCAAAAACGTCCATCGTCATCATAATCATCATAATCATCATCGTCATCATCATCATCATCACCGTCCCTTGTGGGATGCAAACGGAACTTGTTTCAAACCACTATAGCTACAACACCAATCATGGCCCGCTACGTCTTCATTTGATCTCATTTGGGCTGCGGGACCTCTATGATGATCGGTTGCGCTGAATAGTTCACCAAATTCGTTCTCATGATGCTTGCAAGAAATAAGCGCACAGATGTGTCGTAACCTCATATTTGTCCAGAACATGTACAATAGTTCTCGCTACATTTGCTTCGCCATGAAACCTTTGCTCAATGATGCTGGTTACTCCCTGTTGGGCACGGTGATTGCCAAGATCGACTACAACATTATTCATATATAGAACATAAACAGTAATTCGTCTAAGATCTAAGGGATATATATATATGCTAGCCCCCCCCAAACCTACTTTTTTATGACTTTCATGTTGGTTTTCATGTTGGTGCTTGTGTGTCAGAGGCAGGGACATGCAGATAGGCAGAGGAATTGCAGACAAGAGGAAATACTGTATTTTGATTGTGTGTCAGAGGCAGACACATGCAAACAATTTCGTTCATATTTATCGACTTGTGGTAAGTAAAGGAATTGCAGACAAGAATGTTTCAGACTGTTTGTGGTGGTGAAATTTTGTATTTTCATGACATTTGCATGATAATGCGAGTTGCAGCAAACAATGAAGCATTGACAGAAGGATTTTTTTTCTGCGATGGATGGAGCACTGAGATTAAGCCAAGCTTTTGGCGACATGCCATGTACACACAATGCCGGTTTGAAGCCATAGATCCGCATTCCTGTGCCAATACTCGTATTGGGCACTGCGAATTTTGGCACGCAGCAGAGGCGTTCCAACTCGGCAATGTTGGTTTAAATGAATCCTGTCTTTGAGGAAGCGCCAGGCACGGTCTATAATTTGCGTGCCACCTTTAGTCTTAAATTTGCGACCAGTCTTGGGATCCTTGTGTGTGGTCACGCGGACATAGGTGGGCAATTTCCACATCCACTTGCCCTTGACTTTGACACGCTTTTTGCAGTGTCGGACATGGTCGTGCAAAACCCCGCTCATTTTGAGTTTGTACGACTTGGCTGCATCTGTGTGAAGAACGACGATGCGGTCCCGCAAGTGCTTGGTCGCAAGCGGCTGCCACTCAATCTTGCGGATTGCGCCTGGTCCAGGCGCTCTCCGGGCAGATGTTTGAGGAGTCAGCCGCTTCAGGACCAACGTATGTGGAGCACCTCGTTGCACGATGCCGCACCATTGCTCCCAAATGATCGGCTTCGCGGGGTCCTCGGCCATTTCTTGCAAGTCTGTGTTGCTGAATGTGGCCTCATCTGCTTCCACATCAGCCCAGGTCTTGGCGTTGCCGAAGAGGATGGATTTCTCCTTCTCCTTGACCCAACGTTTGCGAAGATGGCTCAGCCTGTTCTCCATGTCCTCAATGGCCTTGTGGTTGATGTGAAGAATGCGATGGATGGCAGGGTGCGGGATGCGATTGAGCAACAGGAACAGCAAAGCAGATTGTGTTTGCAGAGGAGTGGCACTAGCACCAGTTGCATCCTTGAAGATTGGATGTAGGTGATGAGGGTTGATGTATGCCTGGCAGCCCTTGCGGTTGCACCGATGTCGCGGCATTGAGGCGCCAAGCAGCAGTTGAGCCTTTGACAAACGGCCTCTGCCACAACGGGGGCATGTTTTGCCTGTCCAATCATGTAGAAGCTGATCTTCACGAAGTAGACGAACCAATTGAACATCAGTAGCTTGCAGCAAGTCTGCGAGCTTGCGTTTCCAGGACGTTCTGTCCATTCGTTGTTGTTGAACAGCCTCCTTCGAACGCACATAGGGCACTTTCTTCCACTGAGTCGTTTTTGCCCTGGCAGGCCTCTTCAACACACTTCTTCCTTTACCTCTTTTGGGATCAGGAAAGAAGTTGAAGGTGCCCTTGTCCTTGGTATGGCCTTTCTTGACCGGTTTTCCCCCAGCTTTCTTAGCACAAGGGCGAGGGCAGCGCTTCGCAGGCATGGCTTCGATGCTACCAATCGATCGAAAGTGTAAACCCAAAAGCTAGATGGAATGCTGAACTGACACGTGTTGATACACTCTACGTACAACACATGTGGTAGAGCATGTATCAGTTTCAAGAGGCAGAGCACCATGCAAACCAGCAGTGACCATTAAGTATTTTTGACATGACAAGAAGAGTCTGCGACTAACCATGGAGTCTCTTTTCTAGCGAGCGGGTGCAGAATGCGAAGATGCTGAATGGCACAGACACAGTGCCCGTCACTGTATCAAGTCCACACAGCAATATTGAAGACTATCCGGACTATCCGCTTTCAGCGTAGGCTGCAGTCATGGAAGCCAGCAAGCTCCTCACCAAGGATATCCAACTCAGCATCCATCACCTTCTCCAGTTCCTCCTCCAAGGTTGGATCTGGGCACTCTTCTGCGTCATGTGGAAGACCGAGCTCAGCTGCGTCAGGATTCGGAACAGATGCTCCCAGTGAAGCCTTGCTCTTCTTGCGGACTGGCGAAGGACTGCTGAGATCGATCACACCTGTTCCAGGACGAAGGGACTGAAAGACCGCGCGCTCCCGCTTCACTTCCACACGGTCCTTCTTGTCTTTGTCGACATCCCAATTGGTCCATCCAAAGCTGGCCCGGTCTGTGTCCACGTCGATGGGATCCCGGCGTGTTTCACGAGCCAATAACGCATTCCCATCTGTGCACCTTAGCAGACCATGTGAAGCAGAAGGTTTGCAGTAGACAGTTTGAAGCAGACGGTTTGAAATAACAGTTGGTACATGAGATTGAAGTATGCAATGTGATAAGAGGCAGGTACTGCAAGAATATGTTTTAAGCCAAGCTACTCCTGTGATTCCATTTTGACATACGGGATGCTGTGCTTTCGCTCTTCCAATCCATCTTCTGCACTGGCCTTAGCATGGGCTTTCTCTAGACATGTAGAAGGTCTTGAACTGGAGCCCCACAAAGCTTCTCGCATCTTCTCACGGTTCTTGCTGTCTGGGCGCCGGGACTCGAAGCATTTCGCCATGATGGCAGAGATCCACGCCTGCTCCTTTTTGACTTCAGTGTCAAAATTTGGAGGGATGGTCTTGTTGTTGGATTTGAACATGCCATAGAACTCCTTGCCATCAGCAGTGAGGAAATCGGGGTGGTCGACCGCAATGCGCTCCACAGGATCTTCATTCACACCATCAGGCCTGAAGTAGACAAACTTCTTGGTCACCACAATAAAGACAGATCGTTTGAGAAGAGCATTGATGTCTGCGTGAGAGGCACTGGTAGACACTGCCGGACGGATCATCTCCCAGAAGCTTTTGAAAGGAAGAGTTCCAACGAACGCACTGCCTTCATCCACAGAAGCATCGTAGGCATTGGCGGCGATGGCACGAGGTTGGTTTTGCACCCACTTGGATGCACCCCAGCGAGCCCAGGCCATGGACTCGTACAAGCCAACGTCCAAGAAAGACTTGAGGATTTTGAGACCCACATGCTGCATCTCAGGATCATCCAAGAAGTCGCCCATGATGACTGATCCAGCCTCGCCACGGAGAAAGTCTACCTCAGGGGTGCATCGGATGCATGGAGCTTCTTCACGACTGAAGCGCGTCCGGTTATACCGGCATTGTGCCATGAGGATGCTCCGACCCAAAGGACTTTTACCAGTGTTAGGTTCTCCCAGCATCACTTAAGCAGCCACATCGAAGTTCCAAATCTTCTCCAGCTTCTCCAAGATCCACTTCTGGAAGAACTTCTCTGTCAAGGGAAGGGGCCAATCGAATTCCTTGCGCGCAAGGGCGCCTTCTGTGGACAAGCAGCGCAAAGCTTTTTCGACAAGACTGACAGGCCATCCATTGATAGGAGATGTTTTCTTGCGAATTTCTTTTGTTTGCCAAGAGAGTTGCTGTAAATCACTGCCGCTTCGGGGCGCATTTTTCCTCAAGAATTCAAAGCCGCATTCGAGGGCATCATCATCCAGCTCCTCAAAAGCCTTCAGCTTTGCTTGACTGGCCGCGGTCTCGGTGGACAGATCAAAGCAACGAAACTGCCTCCCACCCATATTTTGCAAGCAATATTGCAAAATCTTCTTGCCCACAGTTGGCTTCTGACTCATGAAACTAGGTTTGTACAAAGTTCCAAAGGCAAGGTTCTTGACAAAGGATGCTTTGGCCTTGTTTGGGAACATGTAATGCTTGAAGACGGTTGCTGTTCCATCATCTTCTTCTACAATGACCAGTTGCATCTTGACCTGACTTGCTACAGCTATCTTAGGACCAAATGGATGAGGCAACAGTTGCAGATCCTGATGGGTGATAGCTCGTTTGTAGTGCAACCCCAAGTCCTCGAACGAAGTTTGCATTGTGTAGCCTGCCACGACTTCCAGGAAGTGCACCATAGGATTCTCTCCATCCTGAATCTCGATCATGGGGAAGTTCACATGGTTCCAACTGCCACGGGGGAGAGCTGCTGAGACATAAGGGGCCGGAAGGGCTCGACACATGTACCCATCGCAGACAGCCTCCAATTGCTCGAAGTTCATGTCCTCAGGAGCAACAGCCGTTGTGCAGCAGAAGCGGAAACAGGAAATTGTATGAGCAGAAGTGGCTGTAGCAGGAGGCAGGTTGACACAGACAGTTGCGTTGGTTTAGAAGATTGGTAGCCATGAAATGAAGCAGATACAAGTTTTTTGTACAGAGTTCAATTGGCAGACAAAGTCATTGGTAGGATCAAACACATGTTACTTGAAGTGAGGAGGGTCTAGGCTATTCACAGCAAGGGTTTTCATATGATTATTTCTGAAGCAATTACGGGTGTGATATATAGTGACTTCAGTGCGCATTCTTGGCTGTGCATGTAGACAAGGCAACTGTGCATGTAGACAAGGCACAAGCAGCTCAGCATTATTTTTCTCTCGCTGCAGTGCTCTGATCTGGTCTTAATAAACACGTAATGCGTATGCCAGCATCATAGCTCACCGCCCACACCAGAAAGCAGCTAAAGGAATACCTATCTGCAGCAAAACAATTACTTTTTGTGCCCACATTCTTTTCCAAAACCACTTCCATGACTTACTGGCTTTCTGGTGTGCACGGCGCCGGTCCGAGCAGCTCGGGCGGTGTCATCGGCACCCTTGTGCCGACGTGTGGCGAAATCTCCGTTGGAGGAGCGGGAGGAGGCGGGCCAGGCGGAGTTCGTGGGGCCCTTCTTGGACTCCGGGATCGGTCGCGTGGCCGTTCCTCATAAGGACGTGACTCCCACCAGCTTGGGTCGGTGAGAGGTGGCAAAGTCCACGCAGACCTTGGATGGGAACAATGTTGAAGCAATGGGCAGATTTGAAAGGCAGGATTGCAGTGACAGCCGTTGGGTTTGTAGTTGGGATTTTGTGGGGCAAAACCATCCACCTATGCCGAGAGACTTGCTTCATTTCCTGGATGTCCGTGAAAGCTCTGCCCAGGTGAGGAAGCTGGCTCTTGGTTGGGCTTGCCTGGGGAAGCCAATGCTGGCAGGTGGAACACGGGATATGTTCAAAGTATTTTGGTGGCTTGGGCGACCCGAAAAATGTTTCAGTAATTGAGGTCCGACCCTTACATGAATTAAAAGGAATGCCATAATGCTTAGCCAAAATACACATGGTGGTTTCCACATTTCATTGCGTTGCAGCATGGAAACATTGTGGACCACCCCTGTCTTCCAGCCCGGGGTCTGCTTGAAAAGGTTCCCCTTTTGGTTGTAGATCAGCGCTAGGCCTGTCACAGCCCCGTCCCGCTTTCCATACACGGTGTCCTGATTCAGTTGGGTTGGTTCGATACAAAAAAAATGAATCAAGTCGTTTCATATACATCCCAAAATATCCCAAAGATCTTAGGCGACAATTCGATGGCTTTCAAAATCTTTCAATTAAAGCAAATCACTTCCCAAAATTTGGTTGAGGATCCGGGTTGAACACCCACGTGATTGGCCGGAGTTTCAGATTGCGCTCCTTCAAAGAAAGCTGTTTCCTCGGGGCAGGCATGAGGCGAGTTCCAATCCCCGAGTTAACTTCAAATTGACCAACCATTTAATGGAGGATTGTGATAATATTTGAAAGGGATGAAGCAGACCAGAATTACAAATGCCATTGGAAAGTATTAACAGGATGGTTCGCGTCCAAGGCACTCCCAAAAATCATCCTCATACTGGATCTCCGGAATGTCCGGACGAGGAGCCGCAGCCATGAGGCAATGGCAACGGGAACCAGCAGGAGATAAATAAAAGGGGCCTCTTCGCGGAAATACTGCGGATTCCATCCGTAAACCGAAAAAAACTGAAAAAACTGAAAAAACTAAAAAAAACTATATTTTTCTAGAACTATGGCTGGGACCCAGATCTAGATATAGTTACCCAAAAATATAGTTTTTTCAGTTTTTTTTAGTTTTTTCAGTTTTTTCAGTTTTTTCAGTTTTTTTCAGTTTAGACCTGGAGCTAGACATAGTTCCCAAAAATTATAGTTTTTTCAGTTTTTTCAGTTTTTATTTTTTTCTGTTTTTTAGTTTAGACTTGGGGCTAGACATAGTTCCTAAAGTTTATAGTTTTGCTTCAGTGTTTTCAGCTCTAGTTTCTAGTTTTTTTCAGCTTTATTCACTCCAGCTAATAATCTACATAAAATACTGTAAATACCAATACAAATGTAAAAAAGGTAGTTTTTTTTTTTGGGGGGGGGGGTACCATATATAGATATATATATATGGTATACATATATATATATGGTATAGATTTAATAATAAGTATATATATATACATTATGGATGTTTCATTTGATACATATCTAATACATGTCTAATATCAAAAAACGACTATTAAATATATGGTCAAAACAAAAAACTAATCACCATTAGTTACCCTCCAAGAAGAAAACAACATAATGCCAATGGAGAAAAAAAACGCATTTATAGATGATGTTCCCATCAAAACCTTCATTTTCTCTGAGATATTGCAGCTAGCCTTGTATGATGATTACCGAAGGGTGATTGACACTACCAGTCATCTGCGAGGTGCCATGGTGGACAATCACCTTGCAGCGAGGAAAGAGCAAACCATGCGGCGCCGTGTCCATAAAGAGCACCCTCTCCTCACAGCGTACGGACAACGCTGGGTGGGAACATATAGGGGGATGTGCATGCATATGTGCTGGCAGATTTACCTATACATATATATATATATACACTGTATATATATATATATACAAATATATAAATATTATATATATATATATATATTATATTATGAATATATATATATATATATATGTTATATACTTTGTGTATATATATATATATATAAATTATACTTTAAATATATATATATATAAATATCATACTTTATACATATAAATATATTATACTTTATACATAAAAATATTATACTTTATATATATAAATATATTATACTTTATATATATATATAAATATGTACTTTTATATTCCAATATAATCAAATAGGCATATGAACATATAAATTGTATAAATCTAAATGCACACCGCACAGGCACAAGACAACACACACACATATATATATATATATATTCATGTGATTATATCTCTTGAGATTTCTGTTTGGTTTCAGGAGTACTGTACATCGATGCACTATCATGTTGCATTGCAACATATATGGTGAATCTATGTCGATCTTAGATATCCTGCAGCAAACAACCTACACATATGCATATACATATATTATAAACATATCATAAAAGATATACGTGTACATATATATATATGAATATATATATGCATATGACATATGTATTACAATCCACTCTGCATAATTCTGAATGATTTTCCCATTTGTCAAGAAACAATGCCAAGGTAAACCCAGTCTATATTATCAACTCTTGCGCAGCTCAGCCGTCCTTGCAGTAAGCCAAAAGCTCTTGGGAATCATCCTCGCCCTCCAGTGCAGCAGCTGACATCTCGGCCCAACCGCCCAAAAGAATTCCACGTTGACCAGTCTTCATCCTGAAGCAAACTCGACCCAGAGTTTGGAGGCCCGTCATAAACACGGCAATGTTCATGGGGAAAACGATGTTCAAGCGAAAAATTGCCAGCCATATCAAATTTCAAAGATATAATTACAAACAGCTGGGGCTAGTGCCACTTAAAACACCGACTGCTTGTTTTTATTGCAGTCCCTTTATGGGTATGATATGCCCTTTGCTTGAAGAGATTTGACTTTCAAACATTTTCAAACATCGGCCTTTACAAAATTCATCACAACCTCCATACGATACAGACAGTCCTGACATTCAGGCATGGAGTTTCCTGTAATTCGGGGCTGAGGATTTGTATGACACCTTTCTGTGATGTCTGGTTGGGACATCGTTAGTTAGTGTAAGTCACCCTTGGTCAGGAAAAGAAAATCATGTCCGATCCAGAAATCAAACACAAATCAAATTCAAACACCAGTACTTGTGGCAGTTTGCAGTTGGCTTTGCCGTTCGCATATGCTTATCATGAAATCGACACATTGGCTACTGCAGATGCTCCTGCAGGGCCATTATGCATAGATTCCTCCAAGGAGTTGCGATACAGAAGATTTAAAAAAAATGGCGTCAAACATCGTCAAACAGAAGGGCGCGACCCAATGTTTGAAGTTGCAACAAGAGTCAACAAGCTCCAAACATCCCAAGTTCTCAGAGTAGATATGGTTTTCCATTTGGCAATGAAGCATGGCTTGCTGGAAATTCAGCCAATTTTTTCAAATGCTTATATTGCCATGGCAAGGACGGTCAAATGCTGCTAGTTGGCCGCTTTTTCCACCAAGTTTCAAGGCTCGCAAGCTGAACAAGGTCATGAACTTTGCATTGTGACCTGCAGGAGCTGACTGAAAGTAGGATTGATGAACGGTGACTCATCCGAAAATTGCACACATGGAACACATCAGAAAAAGAGGTACACTTACAAAAAAAAGGAATTGACATCCCATTACAGTCATGAAATATGGCCTGCTGGAAGAATTGATTCTCGAAGGGTAAATCCACTATCCAGTCGATCCCGTTCTACACCCTATATAAAACCACTTCTACCCTCCAAGTACCCATAGAAATTGGTAGTTCGGCCGTCATTTCAATACAAAATTACCAATGTGTCTTGGAATGTATAGGCAATTGAAACCATATTAAACATATTAAACTACCACTATACCTCAATTTACCTGCCCCCCGCTTTGACAAGTAGCAAGTCATCGAGCCATAGCCAACGTAGACTGGCGCATCTCCGGCCTTCAAGAAGGCCTCATGGAAGCCAAAACCGCCCAGAACAACCCATGGAAAAACCCAAGGATTTAAATATATGGAAGCTAATAATATATCCATAATCAATATATATATATATAATAAGTATAATAATAGTCATACTATTGCTATTTTTTTAAATATATATATATATGTATACTGTTAAACATATTTCAAGATAAATATATAAGTATATATATAATGTGTGTGTATATATACTTGCATATGTAAACATATATGATTGAAATCTCAAACCTCTCCATCACTTTCTCCAAGACTTTAGCCAAAAACTGAAAAATGATATGTGCATGCGCGATCACGTGCGAAAATATGCACCCTTATTTTCTGTCTATTTGTGGAAAATTACTTCCTTACTGATTCCCGTCATGCAAGGCCACCCCCGACCTCCATCTGCTGGAGTTTACCTTGCAGAGCATGTGTGATCACACATGGTGCTGAGGGTTCGATATCTGGTTTGTCTGAAACATTCTGAAACTATGGCACCCAGGAGAAAAAAACATAATGTTGGTAAAACAACAATAAAGCAGCAATTATATACCATCCCCCAAATCATAAATAAATGTATATAAATGTCGTATTTTGCCCACATTACATGATCATACATGGTTTGAAAGCACATCGCCCCCGGGGTTAGCCCTGCCGAGCTGCCCCCAAAGTCTGGTCCTGCTTCTTCCGTGGGCTCCAAGGTCAAGGCCCCGATCACCTCAACCGGGCGACCGGCTGGATCCGACAGTGGAGAACTTCCCAAACTGGTTGATGGCCCAGCCATCCATTCCCAAACGTGAATTGGAATCATCGATCCCTTATCCCACATGCAGGTGAAAAAGAACACCTCTCTCTCTGCAGAAAAATAGATAGCATCAAAAAACAACATGGTCTTAATTGGTTGGTACACCATGGTATGGCTTGTCAAGTTTTTCATCCAGTGCCCACTGCCCAAGTCACATGGACGTTGTCGTTGAAATCTTCGGGCAGAGGCCCGTGCCTTATTACTCTGCAGCAATTGCGCTACGGCCTCCTTTTTGGTGAGAGCTACCCTGTAGGGGTCACAGTTGCCAAACATGCAGCCCGTCCGTGCATTTTCAGGGCCTTGAATCTGCACCAACGCCAGGAATAGCCCAGTCAGAATCGGCTAATGTACACTGGTCAACATGCAAACTATCGCTGATAGTATTGGAAGGGCAACTCACAATTTTAAGAGCATGAGTACCAACATACTCTTGCTGGGAAGAATATGTTATTTTTTAGTATCTTGCCGACTGGATACCCTCCTCTACCTGGCTCCCTCTCTCTCTCTCTCTCTCTCTTTCTCTCTCTCTCTCTCTCTCTCTCGCTCGCTCTTTCTCTCTCCACCTGGCTATTGGCTCCATTTGTTCAACCAAATACCTGGCAGGAAAAAACACTTTTGGCATTGATCGTTTGGACTAGTTCCCCTTACTAGGCATCATGTGACACCCTTGTGAAGTGCATATTGTACGACATACGTATGCCTTTACAGGCACAATCATACGCATACATATAAAATCTTATATTATATGGTGGAATTATGATGGATTATGATGGTAATATTTATCATATTAAATTTTAGGCACACGCAGAAAGATAATCTGTATATTGATATATCATAACCCAACTGCATGCAAGTTTGAAACCCTGGGGCATCATGAGGCATGTTGAAGCATCCTGTTTTTTCAATCAGGCGCAAGGTCAGGGAGGCTGCCAACAGAACCGGGTACCGCGCATCGCAGCCTGAATGGGCTCAGTCCAAGGTGACAGAAGAAGTGGCTCCAAAAAAAGGAATACACATCCTTCCCCTTCCCCTAATATTGATGAATATTGAACCTCTATATTGGATCAAAACCCACAGTTTACTATCAGACCTACTCATGCAATGTATTGGGGTCCCTTGTTCGATCTTTTATGTAATCAGGTGACAAGATTATTCATGCAAGGCAGGCATGAATGAATGAATGAACGAACGAACGCATGAATGAACACAACTGGTATGTACTTGTACGTGCCAGTTTTGTGTGTTTCGTTTTTAATATCCGTAGGCCGCAGGTGCACAGCTAAGACAGCACATCGGGTCTTGCGTCACATGGAGTTAAAGCCCTATAACGCAATGAAATGATCCCTCATGTCAATTCCACTGGAAACCCAACGTTGAAACCGGAAACCCAATGGACAAACCATCCATGTTTGATCCCATTTGCTTGGTCAGGAAGGCAAATGACACAGTCTGCAGAAACTGCATGACCAACTGCATTGAAAGTTTCACAGCCAGCAACTGCAAATGTCGTAGAACTCCTCCATGGTGGGTCGAAAATCTGTGTAGGCCTTGGTCAATCCCGACCTGATGACACCTGATGACTCCTTGCGGATTCATCTAACCCAAGTGAACCTCTGCAGCCAACATCAAGCGTTTTGGAAAGGGACATGCACGGCGCTTGGGCCCGCATTTATGTGCCCTCAAAAGATTCTGATGGGGTCTATTCAGTACCTGCTGTGTGGTTCCTTAGAATGTTCAGTATGCATACCTACACATCCCTTGTCTACCATGTGCCCATTGCTAGGAACTAATCTTTTTCCAGAAAAGTCGCATCCTCCGTATCGAAGATTTGCTTCAAAAACGGTTCCGATGTATTGTTGAACTCCTGACAAAACGGCGCCTGTGTTTCGGTTGAAAACGGGAATCCTCTAAAAGAGCTTGGCAATTGCCCGTGTAGATGATCTTATGCATGGCGGGGCAAACTGAACTAATTATTTAGTTGGTTCCTGCTGTGTCATCGCAACTCATTATACCTGTGTGTATACCTGGCGGGCTCAAGAATTATGTGTATACATAAAAATATATTTCATATAAACATATATAATATAATCATAAAATTACGTATGGATACCATAATCATGCGCATATGCACAGTATGATATGTGTATGTCAGGCATGATTGACGTGTACCGTGATTACCCTAATTTGGGGCACAGTTGAAAGAATACGTACTAAAGAATCGAATGAATGCGGATCAATGCTCGCTTGTCAAGTCCGCAACGCTCCAAACTGGATAGGAAAATCAACATCCGGCATCATGCAAAAGACTCACAAAAATAATGTGGTAAATGAACTCAATAGTAAACCTCCGATTAAGTTTTACACAACCCATTTCCGGATATTGTCCGGTTGAATTGGGGCATTGCTTTATTGAGACTGGTGGTTTACTAGGTTTACCGAACAAGGCGTCGTAATTCCATCTGTAGAACCTTGGCGCACACCACCCGTAGCAACTGGCCCCCAGTTCTGGCGAGATTCTGTAGCAATCTTCTCACCTTTCGTGCAGGGGAAGTGGGACCCTGATGACCGCATATAAAAGGCTCAGATGCCCTCTGCTAAGCTGGGGGAGGGCCCAAATTAAAACAGCAACGCAGCAACACAGTAAATCCACAATGATGTGTGACAAAGTCTCCTATGACAAATCGGAATGTTGTGGAAATCTGGGGCCACTTCCAGAGTAGTCGCACCATGTCATCCAAGACGCAAAGGTAGTTCCAAAGACGGCGGTTCAAGGAAAAGGTTGTGGGTCTCAGCAGGTCATCACGCGGCTTTGGAGAGGGCAATGGCTGGATGATGCTGACATGCGGTACCCGCATGCTGCAAAAGTGGCAACCACGGTGATTTCCATAATTGTTACATAGTCATACCGTCATACTATATAGTTACCATTATCAATATGTATGTATCTATATATATATAATTATATATATATATGCATATACGACGTATTCTTATGTGTATATATATATATATGCACATTGTTTATATTGTTTATTGTATATTAATTAAACATATATATATATAGTTATATTAATTCTTACTTTACAATATGTTTAGCTATCATGTGAAACTCTTAGTAGCTCCAACTGGTTCCCCAGTTGGGAAGATCTGCGAATATGGATACCCATAGCTCCGAACCGCTCCCAACGGATGGAATCGCCTCCTTTTTGAGGCATGCTGTCAGAATACCACGAAAAATGTCCAAACATCACCTTCCAATCTCATCGACTCCTAGGTTTTCCATGGTTTTCCCATCTTCAGAGTTGGCCATGAGATTCCAGGTTCGGATTCAGCCATCAGCCCTCATGTTTTTCATCCACCAGGAAGCAACCGCGGGAACATGCCGAAGGCCGCTAAGTAGTTGCTGCAAATCATCACCTGTGCAAATGACACACCTCTGGCACATGCTGGCCTCTTTATCAGAGGTCAGCGATGATACTTCTCAATCGTTCCACAGAAACACCAGCTTCATATGGCAAAAACAAGTTCCAAGATCACGAATTACAGCAACCATCCACTAGGATCTACCGGGCATATAGATACTTAATTTATATGTTGTATACAGTTGCGTTTTTTTCTTTAACCCGCCAAACATTGTTGAGGAAGCGAAAGAAACTGCTCCAGGACCTCCAGGGATGATGTGACAAAAACAGCTCGACATCGTCGACACAATTTCCCATCGCATGCTACGGAAAAAAAACCGCCTATTTTCTATAATATTATGTAATGATACGAGTAATTAGTGATGAAGTAATATGATATGACGCAATTTAATGCAATTTATACAATGTATAATGTAGATCAAGGAACTTCACATCTGTCATCCCCTTTCTCTATCTCCAAGACTACTGGTCTGACGCTATGAACACCCTGGAGTCAGGTTGCGGATCCATGCAGGTGATCCACTGTTCCCACCTGCATGCCGAGGAAAAGGACCGGAATTTTCAAGCCGATGCCGACGTTCATGGAATCTGTCATGGACAGATATGAAGACAAAATCCTCAGTCACCGCGTTTTCTGCGGTTAAAATCGTCATGAATCACTTATTGGTTGATCCACACACCAGGGAACAAAATCAAAAACAGGGAAGTATACACATGAGTCTGTCCCAAAACAGGGTACCCAAAATCTGATGGTTGATTTTCACTTCCCAAATAACAGTTGCCACTTTTGGGCATACAGTACCTCATTTTCAGACCAACCCACATGAAAACCCTGGGGCATCATCATCATCATCATCATCACCATCATCATCACCCCCCCGGCTTATGGATTGAAGCTCTGGTAGGCTACTGCTCACATCCAGCATTCGTCAGGTCTTGATCACAATGGCCATACAGCATGCATACCACACATCTAGCATGTTTTGCGCCAATATTGTGGGGAACGCCTCCAATCCATTTTCCAGATTTGCTCTAAATTTGCCATTTCGGGCTTATATCGACCTCATTTCAAACAGACCCATATGCTACCATGCTCTGCATCCACATTCCTCCAACCTTGACTTCTCAAGAGAAAATGGAACATGTGGTTTTATCATGCTTTATCTGGGCACTAGGGTACCCCAAAGTCACATGGATTATCAGTACCCCATTCAATAGCATAGTTTTTGGTACCCATGGGGTTTCATAACCAACTGCCATTGGACCAAGAATCAAATCTGGCTGAAAATCTTTCAAGGCTGTAACCAGTCTTTGCCTCAAAGGATTCCATCCACATCTCAACCCCCATCCCCAAAACATAAAAATGACACGATCAGGCAGTACTGAACCAACAAAAAAACGAAGATTCATCAAGAAACTCTGGGGTGGAACGCTCAAAGTGCATTAAAAGGTCTTAAAAGTACACCTGAGATACCCTCGGAAGTTACCATAGTGAAGCCATGGCCCATGTGATGATTGACCTGTTAAAAAATTGTGATTTTCCATAGCTATTCTAAACAGGTCCTAGCTGCAGCATCTCCTCCCTTACCGATTGCCGGATTTCTCCTTGCGTGGCCGTCAGCTTTGCAAAGTCCTTGGTGGAAAATGGGTTGAATAACCCCATCCTTGCCAGCAATTCCCATAAATGGGATGCCTCAAATTGATTAAACATGAACAAATCCAATACTAAACCAGCTATTTGGGGGCCCACTTTGGGGTGCTACAGTATTTAATATGAATAATATGAGGGGGAAGGGACTCCACGAACACACACCCAAAAAAGGGTATATAGTTTTGGTGGATGCGAAGGGCCCTGACACATCCATCATAGTCCACGATTATTGTTTGGATCCATGCACCCTGTGACTGTTACCAACACTCCGAACACACTGAAGAACATCTCATATATATATAGAACATGCGGGAGTGCGGTCAAGCTGGGCGACAACATGTTGTTGTTGTTGTTGTTGTTGTTGTTGTTGTTGTTGTTGTTGTTGTTGTTGTTGTGTATGTGTATGTGTATGTGTATGTGTATGTCTCTATGTGTCTATGTGTCTATGTGTCTATGTGTCTATGTGTCTATGTGTCTATGTGTCTATGTGTCTATGTGTCTATGTGTCTATGTGTCTATGTGTATATATGTATATAAATGTATATACATCTATGTGTATTTAATGTATATGTGTGCGTGTAATGTAAATGTAAATTTATATGCAATGCCAATGTAATTGTAATTGTAGGGTTATATTATGTGGTGTTGTGTTATGTGTGTGTGCATGTAATGCAATGCAATGCTATGCAATGCAACGCAATGGTATGTATATAATGCTATGTAGTGATATGTAAGGCTAGATTCTATTATGTAATGCATGCTCGCATGTAATGTAATGTTATGTTGTGAAATTTCATCTCATGTTATGTTATGTGTGTACGTATGCATGTAATACAATGCAGTGCAAAGCAAAGCTATGCAATGCAATGCAATGTAGTGTAATGCTGTTGTATCTCCTGTTATGTCATGGTCATGTCATGTAATGTATTGATGTACACATGTGTAAATATGTAGTATGCATTTATGATGTATATACGAGTATACATACATGCATGGATGCATGAATGCGTGTGGATCCACATACCAGTAAATATATATATATATAACCATCCTGAAGTAGATAGAATCTTTGAATTTTCAAAAAAAAAACGGTCCGAAAAAAACCTATAGATAGAATCCCAAAATGTTCAAAAATCCGGGTCGATGATTGGTAAAAAAAAGGGTCCCTCTAGAATGATCACAAAAGCGGTCATTTAGCTTGTGATTTGGTTCTTTGGGCCTTTGAAATGACCACCAAATGTTGTCATTATGCTGGTGTATTTGGTTCTGGCATGCGAATTTCAGCCCAAAATCTTCCAAAGAAATTGTCGCTGTTGCTGGTGGTTCCCAGAAATATAGATCCTTTGGCAGTGGTATTCAATAGTCAAATCCAAGAAAGGAATGGGTGTGGGTCAAATTATCACACCCCAAAATTGATAGTTGATTTTTTAAGATGTGAAATTTTGAAATTGAGCTGGGGCCAAATTTGACCCGTACCCATTTAGCTACAGTGTGCTCACCGGACCTCCTGGAGATTTTGAATTTGGACATCGATCAAAATCGGATACTTTAAAAAGTAATCTGTATAGAATTGGGTGTAATTGGGACAGAAGGTTTTGATCCATCCCCATATTCTTCTATATTCCTTCATATTCTATCTATGGTATCAACCACTGTGCTGACCCCTCCCTACTGCATTCTGCTAACAACGGCAGGTTTCCAAAAACCATTCCATGTGTTGTAGATTCTTTGGCAATGGTATTTTTGGTTCCCGGGATGCCCAAATAGTCAAACCCAATAAAGGAATGGGTGTGGGTAAAATGATCACCCCTTACAAAATTGATAATTGATAATTGAAGATGTGCAATTTTGTAATTGAGTTGGTGTGCTCACCGGACCTCCTGGAGATTTTGAATTTGGACATCGATCAAAACCAGCTACTTTAAAAAGTAATCTGTATAGAATTGGGTGTAATTGGGACAGAAGGTTTTGATCCATCCCATATTCTTCTATATTCTTTCATATTCTATCTATGGTATCAACCACTGTGCTGACCCCTCCCTACTGCATTCTGCTAACAACGGCAGGTTTCCAAAAACCATTCCATGTGTTGTAGATTCTTTGGCAATGGTATTTTTGGTTCCCGGGATGCACAAATAGTCAAACCCAATAAAGGAATGGGTGTGGGTAAAATGATCACCCCTACAAAATTGATAATTGATAATTGAAGATGTGCAATTTTGTAATTGAGTTGGTGTGCTCACCGGACCTCCTGGAGATTTAGAATTCGAACGTAGATATAAACTGTTGGATAGTCAAACTCTATATAAGATCATGAACCAACAGTGGTTTTGAATACAGCCCAAAAGGTATTTTCAGAATCCATAAATTATAATACCACTTTGGATAATATATTGATATAGCACAGGTTGTTAAATACCACTGGGTATAATCCAATTAAGAAAATTGTCTTTGACAACATGTGATTGTTTTTCCAACCGGGACCTTTTCAGGGATATTCTAACTATAGATCTTGCCAGGGGCTGACAACTCGGCTCCCCCGTAAAGGGAGCATAGCCAAAAAACGTGACAGGATTCCAGAATCCCGTCATCACCCCCCTATGTGGGGGACGCCCCGGAAAGCGACCGAGTGTGCTACTATAGTGTGTAAGGTGCACTCTGTGTGAAATATATGCTTTGTATGTGAATGATATAAAATATGTAGATATAATATGTATGGTGTTTACTATGATTGAAACATATGCTTTATATGTGAATGATATAAAATATGTAAATATAATATGTATGGTTGGATAGTCAAACTCTAGATAGAATATCCTCTAGAACCATGAAAAGACTGAATTTTTAAAGGATGCTTGGAATTAAGCATGTATTTGTGGTGCTCCCTGCCCCTTCCTCCACATCTACCCATCCAAAGTTCATTCTTGGAGCTGTTTGAAAGCAAGCTTTAAAAGGAAAATGGCATTAAAAAAAAAAGGAATCCGAGATCTCACCATCCAAAGTTGAAATTGCAGGTTTTGAAAAGAAACCACAAAAGGAAAATGGGATGAGAAAAGAATAATCCACGATCTTACCATTCAAAGTTCAATCTTGCAGGTTTTTGAAAAGAAAGCTGCGAAAGGAAAAGGAGATGAGAAAAGTATAGAAAAGTAGGAATCCAAGATCGACCATCCAAAGTTCATTTGTGCTAGTGCTGTGCTAGGACAGTTGGGCAAAACTATAGATAGAATATCCTCTAGAACCATGAAAAGACTGAATTTTTAAAGGATGCTTGGAGTTGAGCATGTATTTGTGGTGTTCCCTGCCCCTTCCTCCACATCTACCCATCCAAAGTTCATTCTTGGAGCTGTTTGAAAGCAAGCTTTCAAAGGAAAATGGCATTAAAAAATAGGAATCCGAGATCTCACCATCCAAAGTTGAAATTGCAGGTTTTTGAAAAGAAACCACAAAAGGAAAATGGGATCAGAAAAGAAATAATCCACGATCTTACCATTCAAAGTTCAGTCTTGCAGGTTTTTGAAAAGAAAGCTGCGAAAGGAAAAGGAGATGAGAAAAGTATAGAAAAGTAGGAATCCAAGATCGAGCATCCAAAGTTCATTTTTGCTAGTGCTGTGCTAGGACAGTTGGGCAAAACTATAGATAGAATATCCTCTAGAACCATGAAAAGACTGAATTTTTAAAGGATGCTTGGAGTTGAGCATGGATTTGTGGTGTTCCCTGCCCCTTCCTCCACATCTACCCATCCAAAGTTCATTCTTGGAGCTGTTTGAAAGCAAGCTTTAAAAGGAAAATGGCATTTAAAAAGTAGGAATCCACAAAGTTGAAATTGCAGGTTTTTGAAAAGAAGCAACAAAAGGAAAATGGGATGAGAAAAGAAGAAATCCACGATCTTACCATTCAAAGTTCAGTCTTGCAGGTTTTTGAATAGAAAGCTGTGAAAGGAAAAGGAGATGAGAAAAATATAGAAAGTAGGAATCCAAGATCGACCATCCAAAGTTCATTTGTGCCAGTACTGTGCTAGGACAGTTGGGCAAAACTATGGATAGAATATCCTCTAGAACCATGAAAAGACTGAATTGTTTAAGGATGTTTGGGATTAAGATTAAGCATGTATTTGTGGTGTTCCCTGCCCCTTCCTCCACATCTACCCATCCAAAGTTCATTCTTGGAGCTGTTTGAAAGCAAGCTTTAAAAGGAAAATGGCATTAATAAAATAGGAATCCGAGATCTCACCATCCAAAGTTGAAATTGCAGGTTTTTGAAAAGAAACCACAAAAGGAAAATGGCATGAGAAAAGAAGGAATCCACGATCTTACCATTTAAAGTTCAGTCTTGCAGGTTTTTGAATAGAAAGCCGTGAAAGGAAAAGGAGATGAGAAAAGTACAGAAAAGTAGGAATCCAAGATCGACCATCCAAAGTTCATTTGTGCTAGTACTGTGCAAGGACAGTTGGGCAAAACTATAGATAGAATATCCTCTAGAACCATGAAAAGACTGAATTGTTTAAGGATGTTTGGGATTAAGCATGTATTTGTGGTGCTCCCTGCCCCTTCCTCCACATCTACCCATCCAAAGTTCATTCTTGGAGCTGTTTGAAAGCACACTTTAAAAGGAAAATGGCATTAAAAAAGTAGGAATCCCTTACCATCCAAAGTTGAAATTGCAGGTTTTTGAAAAGAAACCACAAAAGGAAAATGGGATGAGAAAAGAAATAATCCACGATCTTACCATTCAAAGTTCAATCTTGCAGGTTTTTGAAAAGAAAGCTGCGAAAGGAAAAGGAGATGAGAAAAGTATAGAAAAGTAGGAATCCAAGATCGAGCATCCAAAGTTCATTTTTGCTAGTGCTGTGCTAGGACAGTTGGGCAAAACTATAGATAGAATATCCTCTAGAACCATGAAAAGACTGAATTTTTTAAGGATGTTTGGGATTAAGCATGTATTGTGGTGCTCCCTGCCCCTTCCTCCACATCTACCCATCC